TTTGTCACAACTAATCCGTTTGCGATAGCTTGCTTCAGTGAACGATAATGTACAACATAATTTCGTTTAGGATTAAAAGTAGTCATCAATTTTTTCACCTTTGAATTAGGTGGGAATGTAAATTCGGGTAAAAATGGGAAATCGTTATGATCATTGTGTAAATGCTCAGGGTAATCAACATCAACTTCTAATATATAACCATACTTTGAATTGTTTGGTATTGTTGTAATATCTAATGATAAATCTTCTAACCATTCGAAATTACGAAAAGGTAAAACCGATAGCATAGCTTTCCCATAGAGGTTTACACAGTCAAAATATGTAAGCCAAGACGTGGGTTTATCAGGATTGTAATTAATTCCCTCGACATTAGGGATATTAGCTTTTACGTGTCGTTTAACACTGTTACAGATACCTCCGCGAATACCGGCTTCAAGCATGAGATGCATATCATAATCTTTTAGCCTTTCAAGTTCAACATTAGTAAATTTCAACATTGCTTGGAATGCGAATCCTGGAGCTGTAAAATAATGTGATGCATCAAGATGAAATGTGTTCATACAAAGATTTCGAAATGACTCGAAAACATCGGCTAATATTAAAATATCAGTCAACAGATAGTGATCAGAATATTCACCTAAAGTTTTTATTCTAAATGTATTCCAAACAGTTTTCGCATGGTTATAATCTTGGTTACTGATTTCTTCATCATTTAGTGAGTTGTAAAAGTGTTTTTTGGATGGTAAATAAGTCTGTTCAAGTTTATCCCAGTTATTCACGTATTCGTAGGGGAAACAACCTTTACGACATACTAAATCTAATTTATCTATTGAAAAAAATCGTAATGTCTCTTTAAACCTAGATTTGTCTTCGGCTAAATTATTAGCAAGCGTACTTAAAGGCTCTGACATAAATCTAAACGTATCTATGAATTTTATTTTCATAGTTTTGGAAATTTCTTTGCTAAATGAAATATATTTTTCACTCGAATTAGGAATAACATCAATTCGTTTGTTATTTATTCCTAATTGATGTACTATGAAATTACTATCGTACGCTAAGTTATGAAAATAAATTGGAATGAAAGTTACATTTTTCAACTTGAAATTACAGGTCAAACATAATACATTTCTAAATTTACCCGTAAAATGACAGTGATCTCTAACTTTTATGGTATTGATAAAAGATCGCTTACATGTTTCACAATTGCTAGCGTTTTGAAATCGATTTGTTTCTTCACTAGTTAAAGGATTCATTGCTATGTTTGTCTGATATAATTTATCTACTTCTTCTCCGACTTTTATAAGAGCTTCCATAAATTTTTTGGCAGCATTTTCACCTCTGTAAATAACTGGTTTTTTAGGTATTTTAAATTCATTAACTAATTCAGGTGGAATGGTTGTGTAATCAATTTTAACATAAAAGCCAAAACTCATCGGTTTGTGTTGAAAAGTTTTAATAGATTTCTGTTTTTCATTTGACTGTTCCATAAGAGGTTTTAAAAAACATTCAAAATCTGCATAGATCACTATTGGTACGCGTTGAGTAGCTATATAATTTGTAAATTTGATTACAGAATCATCATGATCTTCAAGCATAACTGGTCTGCTTAATTTATGTTGAGAACAGAATTTTTTATGTTCTCGTAGTCCTTCAAACCCCCATAATTTATTCTTACAAGGTGTGTTGTTAAAAATAGTAAAACATCGTTTGCAGATATTTATTTGTTCTTTGTGTTTAGTTCTTTGAGACCTAATAAGTCTTGAAAAATTGGATATAAAGCAATAATGTTGTCGTGAAGTGTTGCTAAGTAAAAGTAAGTCAAAATGGTTTCGTTTTTCAATATCGGAAACTAGTATTGGATAAATTAATGATTTACTGTCTAGTCCATATATGTTAATGGAAACATTATTGATCTTTGCAAATTTTCTTACTTCTTTAATCGAAGTTGGGAATGTGATACACTTGAAATCAAATTTATTTTTAGTCTCTAAATAATCAAAATATTTTTTAGAGAATTTACTTTTATTATTACGCCTATCAAACTTAGACAATATTGCATACTTAAAACATTTTTCGTCGTTATTATTTATGTTAACTATAGCTCTTCTACCCTGAATTTTTTGTGGTAGAGGAATGTATGATGAACCTTCTAAAGGATTTACAACATTTATGCGTAGCTGTATACCATCAATATTTCGAAGAGACCAACCACTGCCTTTAGCAATAAATTCACTTTCTTCCTTCAAAAGTTTACCATATATATTATTCAACAATACTGTAAAATCGGATCCTGATGTTGTGAATGTGTTTTTTGTTTTAAACGAAATATCTTGCAACTCAAAAGTTAAAACATTTTCATACACACAATCCAAGTGAAGATTAAATTTAATTGAGTTATTTTTACACGCTTCCTTAATTTTTGGTAAAATAAATGTAGTAGCATACTTGAAAAAAAGTATAAAGTCTAGAAACTTTAACTTATTTTTTAAAAAGAAAGTTTTCGACCTGGACCTAAATCTTCCTATTTCTTGTAAACCATCACCAGTTGAACTCAAACGAATGTTTTTCGTAATTTTCATGTTTTTTTTTTTTTTTTCAAACTAGAAATATAAAACCAAGAGTCACATAATCATATACAAATACAACAACAACAAAATTATTCATAAATTTAAATATTTTCTTTTATTGTTTTTATTATATCGTACATTTTTTTTATTATTTCATCGTCTAATTTATTTTTTATTTTATTTTTATAATTCTTTCTTCTCCTAGCATGTTTGCTAGGCTTACCTAGTGCTTTAATAATTTTTATTTTTTCTTTAGGGTTTAATAAAAGTGTGGAAGTTTGTTGTGCCATACCTTAACAGTTTTTGAATGAGTTGACCTTGAGAGTGATGAGGACTGTAACGATATTCTAAAAAAATAAAGAATCATAATGTTCATTCTTCATACTATTTTTTTTTTTAAAAGACACTCAATATTTTCCATCCGTTGGTGACATAATTAAAATATATATTTTTTATTAGCACTGCTATCAAATAAATGACGCGACTTAAATAAAAAAAAATATGATTTTAAAGAGCACTACACAACTGGAGTAGAAAATTAGAACTGATAGCTCAATTTACACATCCGTTGGTGACATAATTAAAATATATATTTTTATTAGCACTGCTATCAAATAAATGACGGCGACTTAAATAAAAAACATATTTTTAAAGAGCACTACACAACTGGAGTAGAAAATTAGAACTGATAGCTCAATTTATGCATCCGTTGGTGACATAATTAAAATATATATTTTTTATTAGCACTGCTATCAAATAAATGACGGCGACTTAAATAAAAAAAAATATGATTTTAAAGAGCACTACACAACTGGAGTACAAAATTAGAACTGATAGCTTAATTTATGCATCCGTTGGTGACATAATTAAAATATATATTTTTATTAGCACTGCTATCAAATAAATGACGGCGACTTAAATAAAAAATATATTTTTAAAGAGCACTACACAACTGGAGTACAAAATTAGAACTGATAGCTTAATTTATGCATCCGTTGGTGACATAATTAAAATATATATTTTTATTAGCACTGCTATCAAATAAATGACGGCGACTTAAATAAAAAATATATTTTTAAAGAGCACTACACAACTGGAGTAGAAAATTAGAACTGATAGCTCAATTTACACATCCGTTGGTGACATAATTAAAATATATATTTTTATTAGCACTGCTATCAAATAAATGACGGCGACTTAAATAAAAAATATATTTTTAAAGAGCACTACACAACAAGAGTACAAAATTAGAACTGATAGCTTAATTTATGCATCCGTTGGTGACATAATTAAAATATATATTTTTATTAGCACTGCTATCAAATAAATGACGGCGACTTAAATAAAAAATATATTTTTAAAGAGCACTACACAACAAGAGTACAAAATTAGAACTGATAGCTTAATTTATGCATCCGTTGGTGACATAATTAAAATATATATTTTTATTAGCACTGCTATCAAATAAATGACGGCGACTTAAATAAAAAATATATTTTTAAAGAGCACTACACAACAAGAGTACAAAATTAGCACTGATTGCTTAATTTATGCATCCGTTGGTGACATAATTAAAATATATATTTTTATTAGCACTGCTATCAAATAAATGACGGCGACTTAAATAAAAAATATATTTTTAAAGAGCACTACACAACAAGAGTACAAAATTAGAACTGATAGCTTAATTTATGCATCCGTTGGTGACATAATTAAAATATATATTTTTATTAGCACTGCTATCAAATAAATGACGGCGAATTAAATAAAAAATATATTTTTAAAGAGCACTACACAACAAGAGTACAAAATTAGAACTGATAGCTTAATTTATGCATCCGTTGGTGACATAATTAAAATATATATTTTTATTAGCATTGCTATCAAATAAATGACGGCGACTTAAATAAAAATATATTTTTAAAGAGCACTACACAACAAGAGTACAAAATTAAATGTCTTTAAGTAAAAAATGATTACACTTACATAGCTAAGAATGATATAGTACTGTCGAAAACACTTCACTAGCAGGAGACGGTGTTTCCACTGGTAAAAGACAATCACAGACTGATGTTTAAAACACACGACTAGGCAGTATTTATGCAGTCGAAAGGAGGTTATTCTCCTCCTCATATTATAATTTTAAAGACATTCACAACATATACCACTTCTATAGTGTTATTAAAAAAAAAAATTAAATCGACCTCGCTTGGAGAATATAGTTAAACGTCTATAGCAGTTAGGTTCCTCAAGGATTGTAACACGCAGCGAGTCGTAGGGTTTCTGTGGTCTGTGGTTAGTTCATTGAATCGTATTTATAAATTTTTTTTTTTTTAGCTATTGTACAATGATTGTTACAATGTTACAACTGGAATGAATAAAAGAAGGTTAATTATCTTTCTCATATTATTATTTCGAAGACACTCTACATAGTATTATAAAAAACAGAATCATCCCACTCCGTACATATTTTCGCTTAAGTTATTTTTTACCATGCAAATTTGAACGTTAGCACTATAGTGGGATATTTTTTATTTGTCAAGATTGGTATAAAACGAGAAAAAACATAAACATCAGAGTTATATTAACATTAGTTGTGTGACAGTACAGTTCGAATTTATTTTACAAACAAAATGTCGATTCTGGAATCATCCGACGAGGACTTCTTCGCAGTAAGTTAACTAAATAATAATAATAATATGAATGATATAAAAAATGTTTTTTAGGAGACCTCACAGAGAAATGATGAATCAAGCTCGTTTGATCCACCACAAGTGAAGAAACCCAAAGTAGTTAGCAAAAATATAAGAAAACAGTCAAAAAACAACAAAACGGTATTATTTATTTATATACTTTTTTTGTTTTTTTTTTTTAAATAGTAAAATTATGTATTTTCAGTCAACAATTTTTCAAAAAGCGTTAAAGGATGCAGTTATTTTAGATGAAGCGAACTATGAAGAATCGATGCTGCTTTTACGTGACAATAATCAAAAATGTGTCATTAATATTAAAACACCGAGTCCAACGTCTTATATAATTATACAAGAATATTTAGTAAATGATGTATTAGGATTATCCTATAGTGAGAGGTGAGAATTTTTTTTTTATTTTGGTACCAAAACGTAGCATAATTAATTTTTTTTTATAGATGGCGAAAAGTGAACCGATCTGCTAAAATTGGTCTTACAAATAATAAGGCGAATTCTAAAATCAACAATTTATTGAAAAATCTATTTGATGAATTGGGAGAAAAATTTTTATCAGATGAATCTCGCACAATAAAAATGACAAAGGAATGATATTATTACAGCTATATCAACTATTTTAAATACATGATGGTGGAGGTTCTTTTCATAATAATAATATTAATATTGTATGGTATTAACGTAATGATATATTGTTAAGACGAGTTATATTTTTAACTTATATACCATTGTTTTTTCAGTAGTATAGCAGAGGTATAATATAAATTAGAAATCATTGTTTTTTTTTTTTCAGCAGTATAACAATAATAATAATGGTGGAGAACATTTCATTATAATAATAATATTGTATGATTTTAACGTAACGATATACTGTTAAGATAAGATTATATAGTATTACAATAAAATATTTTAAATTAGAAATCATTGTTTTTTTCAGTAGTATAGTAAAGGTATATAATAATAATAATATTAATGTTTATTCACGTGTGAAGAAAGTTAACTAGACTCAAACATTACCCACATAAACCGCATAAACACAGATCACGCAGCGTATAGAATACAACTAACCACAGGGTTTCATTGACGCGGTGTGTCTTGTTCAATGAATCGTAGTAATTTTTTGTGTAATGGTTGCTATGACTCAAATGATTATATTTATTACAAGGCGAAACTGTTTCACTAAAAAGTAAGTGGGATTTTTTTTTTTACTATCAAACTTAGTGTATGAGTAAGAGCTGTTAGTTCAAAATGGACAGCGATTCCTATCCATCGTCTGCTAGAACGGTGAGGCGTTGCAAACGACGGCGGCGACCGCGTAAAATCCGAACACAACGGCGACGGATAGGTTCTTACACATCTCTTGAGACTGATACTACCGCATCGCGAAGTCGATCGGTAAGTGTTAATTCCAGCTCTAGTTTTTTTTCATTATCACCCCTACGTCAACGGTCGCTCTCGTCGATTTCATATTCTCCTTGGAGCTCGAGTAGCGACGTGAAGTCTTTTCATAGTAAATCAACACTGTGGTTGGAATGTAAGTTTTTTTTATTTAACCCATCGTTAGTAAACATATGAGCGCGGCGCTCACACAGAGCACATTTTAAGGTTTTTTTGTACTATAAAATTTTTTTAAAAAATAAACTTATAGTTTTTTTATTTTTTTTATTTTCTAATAATAGTAATTACAAAAAAAAAAACATATTATCAATTAGTAGTGAGTAAAAAGATACATATTTCTTTGAATGATTCAATGTTCTGAGTTTAACTAGTAATTAATAATAATGCAAAAAGTTTAACAATCGTGTTCTTCAATATAGGTTTACCAATGATGGGTTAATAAATGAATATTAACATTTTTTGTTTTTTACAAAATAAGTAACGTACTTTTTTTTATTTAGCAGATACAGATGACCAACGTGGAATTGGAAATTGGTGTGAGTAAAAAGATACATATTTCTTTGCATGATTCAATGTTCTGAGTTTAACTAGTAATTAATAATAATGGAAAAAGTTTAGCAATCGTGTTCTACAATATAGGTTTACCAACGATTGGTTAATAAATGAATATTAACATTTTTTTTTTTACAAAATAAGTAACGTACTTTTTTTTATTTAGCGGATACAGATGACGAACATGGAATTGGAAATTGGTCTACATCAGAACCATCAATAATTTCGCTAGCAGATTCATGTAAGTTAATTTTTTTTTATTTGAAATAAAATAATATTTTCTTCTTTTTTTTTTTTTTAAAAAAAAAGGGTCATCAACAGATGTTACTTATGAATCGGATGCAGACGTGTTACCTCCACTTCTGCGTCTTAATCAGCCAGCTATTGAAACCATTTGGCTAACTGATTCGGATTAATATGTAAGTTAGTTTAATTTTTTTAATTATTGTTGAATTAATATTATACTGTTTTTTTTTAGGGTTTTTAGGGAGGTATTTATTATTGTTGAAAACATGAACGTTAGAGATCACTGTAAGCTGATTTTAAATTAGTAAAATAAAAAAATATTTTAATATATTTTTTTTTTTAAAGGTTAACAGATAGAGTTGTTGGAAATGATTGTCATGTGTACTCTACGCTATGAGACTTAAATGTGAGTAATTATATAATATATATATATATAACACAATTGATTAGTTAATAGAATGTTTATTAAACACTTTTTTAAATTCACAATACAATTACATTATTTAATAAGATTAATAATACTTTAAAAATAATCCTCGTTCACTCAGATTTTGTTGAATTTTTTATTCTGTAAGCGCTTGGATCGACGAGCATCTGGCGTTTTCACAATTAATACTGAAATATCATTTTCTAAGTTTTGATTTAATTATTTTAACACTATTTTTGGTTGCTTCAATAATAATATATTTTAACAAACGACACTTTCGACAGGAGCAGCATTCTAAATGTGAAGGCATTATAATACCTTCTTGTAAGACGGCTATTTCTAAACTAAAACGAGTGAAATATTTTTTTAAATAATTAGCTTGTATACGTTTTCCCTCTCTCAATACATATATTTTTTTTTTCCTTTTCGAAATTATACTATAGTTACTAGAAGTTCTCGCATAATCAAATTTATAATTTGATCATAATTAATTTTTAATTCATGGATGAATAGCGCATTTGTATCCGTTGCAAACATTTGAAAATCATAGTTTGCGACAAAAGCCGTTATGAAATCGATACGTCGACATTCACTTGAAAAATTATTAACATCATTAAGTATAGCTGAATATATATCGTTAAAAGATTTTTGATACAACTCCAACTTATTTAAGCGTTCAGTTATATGTGCTTCAATACAATTTGAAATCATCTGAAGTGTTAACAAATTTATACGCGTCAATTTCATACGTTCATTTTTATTACGTAATATCACTGAATCTGTTTTAGGGTTAGTAGTACAACTAAAATCTGAACCTAATTGTATTCGCTTTGCATTGTTTTGAATTGTGTTCACAATGTTGTTGAATATTTGAAATTCCATCAGAGTACGCCACTGTTTTTCATCAAGAATTAGCTGGTCTTGACTATTTTTATAATCTAAATAGACAATAATAGATAATTTTTTATTTAAAAGAATACCTACCGAGATAGTTCTTTTGGGGTCAATGGTGAACGTAGATTTAGATAACACATTTGCCATTTTGTTTAAATAAAATTTTAGCATGCACATAAACGTCCGTACAACTTAACTCTATATTAGCTACTTATATCTTTAGCATAAAGATGACGTATATATATATACAAACCTTGAGTATAAAACATACCCCCTCTTCTACTTATTCCAGTGTAATTGACCAAATGGGTTGTGCAATTTTTAGATTCTTTACATTTTGTAATTCTTTTGTCTGGTGTAGAACTTCTTCAAAAGATTCCTCAAGTTTTGTTTTAGATGTAGATTTTTCTATATTTGAATGTTCAATTTTGTCTAATTTAATTATAAAATTATAAATAGCTTCTAGTAGACTACATTTAATACAAGGCATTGTGCTTGGAATAATACTTTTAACATCGACTGTACTACTATACGAAACTCTATGTACTAAACACTTGAAAAACATTTGATTAACTATATTAGCCCCCCCCCCTCTTCTTACCGCTATATTTTATTTTTAAATTGGAAAAAAAAAATGCAAAAAGTGTAGACGCAGTGACGGAGTGAATTAAAGTATGACTCAACCTCAACCTACCTAGCCTAGCATGAGTGCTATCAATCCACATCCTATTAAATTTATCCTAGAAAGTCACGCCTTAACCTACTACGCCACTGCGTCTACAATGTGAATTCATGGTTTTACTAGTATTTAAAGAGTTAATTTAAATGTAAGAATGTTGTAATAAATTAACATCTTTTTTTTTTATTTAATAGGTTTTAAAATCAATGAGGTGAACCCTTCACTAACCGAAGATAACCACAATCTGGAGACCATCTTGCATGCTCGATCCAAGGTTCGTCGTTCGGCTCCCAAGATCTCAGACCTTGACGACAATAAAAACATAAGACATCATCATTTGATCCATCACCAATATAAATAAAACCGGCTTCACTCATAAGTTCTCGCTTTGAAATAAGTAGTGTATTACTACATTTATCAAAAGTCTTGTTACGCGTTTTACAATCTAAATAGTCTAATGTACAAAAAACATCACATTCACTATTATAATCATCCATTATTATACTGTTTAAATTGAATTAAAATGACTATAATTTATTTGAAACATGTTTATATATGATTTATTTCTTCCACTTCTTATTTAGTAAAACACTCAATGTTACAAATAATTTTCTATACTAAACAATATATAAGGTTAAACTATAATTTGTAAAAATGGGCGGTAAAGCCCCAAATTACTACTACTTCCATCTTTGTCATTTATATGTATAACACATTTAAGTCCCATGCTAACGTACGCTAACAATAATGCGATACTGCAGATGTAAACCGGTCATCATACCCACCAATTAATGTTTAAAATTTTTTTTTTTTTTTATACTTTGATTTAACAATATGTTGATAAGAGGTAAATGCAGTTATAAAACAATCTATTATTATATTAGCAAGTAGTTCCTAATATAAGTTTAATAGCGGAACGCTAACATGGATAACAACGTTAGGTGTATAGAGGAGAACAACATAAACACCAGTTAATAGTTTTATTTAAGATAAAAATTATTTTTTAATAAATATCACCTTACCCATAAGTATTGTCGACTTCATTCTTTACCAAATTCTCCTCTGTTGTAGAAATTGAATTGTTTATGAACAGCACATCTAACGGTTTAGATTTTTCAAAGGAGCATTCTTCTGCATCGTCATTTTCAGGTTTAATTTTTAATATATTATACCGCTTCAAAACTCTATAATTGACATTTAACATTAGTTGTATTTCTGTGCCATATATGCAAAGAGGTTTATTTGGACAACTAAATTGCACAATTTTAATTATTTTATTTAGTAACAAATATAGTCTAATAATGATATAGTAAAGATAATTTAGTTTACATTCTAAACTCGAAGATTAATCATATTATAAATTTTAAAAAAATTAGATAGCCTGATCTATTCATAAAAAATGTCTATTTAACATAAATGAAATTTCTGATAGTAAAAAAACATGAATTTTAATATATAGTTTTTGTAATAAAAAATGACATTTATTCGCATTTTTTTTAACTTAATAAAAAAATGAAAAATAATTGTAAAAATGTTTTCTATATATTTATATAACTAACTCGGTAAGTATCGTACAAAACTTACGCTAACATAATGTGGTGCTGCAGACAACATACCCACAAATTAAATGTTTACAATTTTTTTTTTTTTTTTTAATATTTTAATGGATTTTTGTATTGATAAGAGGTAGATGTAGTTTTAAAACAATCAATCTATTATTAAATGAACAAGTGGTTCCCAATATAAGTTAAATCTTAGTGAAACTCTTATATTGATACCATCAGGCACAAGTTTTAATAATTTTGTTCAAGATAAAAAAAATGGTAATAAAAATCGCCTTACTCATAAGTATCATCGACTTCATTCTTAACCAAATACTCCTCTGTTGTAGATATTTCAATGGTTTTGAACAGCACATCTAACGGTTTTGGTTCAACGACTCCGAACGTTTATTCAACAGAGTATTCTTCTGCATCGTCATTTTCAGGTTTAATTTTTAACATATTATACAGCTTCAAAACTCTATAATTGACAAATTACAAGCATGACTTATAGGTAAGAAGCTAACACAATAAAGATCAAAGCTAGACGATTGGCCATTTTGCCAACTAGATTAATTAAAAATGGTGTTGATCCCATATAACTCTGCTCAACTCCGGGTAAATATTAAGTAATAAGCAACCAAATATAAATTATGATTCTTTTTATTCACAAGCAGTGTTTTAAGTCCTCGGGAGACAGTAAACACGGCAATAATGTATATAAATTAGAAATACAAAACAATAGGTACTCACACAACGTAGAACCGTAAACTGCCTTCCAGAGCTGCTAATAAAAAATTATAATAAATTATTGACATGCAAGACAAAACTCAATTGTAACTTGAAACAAAATAAAGAAACAACGTAGTGCGTTAGGTATTTATCACAGAATTCGACCAAGTTATTATGATTAAAATCTAGAGATGTTCACGAATCGGACCCGTGGCGACAATACAGAAAACAAATTGTACCTATGGCGCTAAATCTAATTTAACTAGGTTGATTTACAGAACTGCAGAGTGTACAAAAATAAATCTTAATTACTAACAAAATCAAAACTTTTATTTCATAATAATTGTGATTTTAATGCAAACCGCACAGTGCACGACAACGCAGAAATTGTATGGACAAATAGTGTGTGTTTGTGTGATAACGAGTGATTGCCACAGATGGAGGTACTTTGTAGCATAAACAAATAAATTGCACAATTTTAACTATTTTATTAAGTAACAAATAAAGTAAGATTAATAACCCAAAGCTACAAGCATGACTTGAAGGTAAGAAACTAACACAATAAAGATCAAAGCTAGACGATTGCCCATTTTGCCCACTAGATTAATTAAAAATGGTGATGATCCCATATCACTCTACTCAACTCCGGATAAATAATAAGTAACAAGCTACCAAATAAATTATGATTCTTTTAATTAAAAGCAGTGTTTTAAGTCCGCGGGAGACAGTAAACGCGGCAATAATGTATATAAATTAGAAATACAAAACAATAGGTACTCACACAACGTAGAACCGTAATCCGCTTTCCAGGGCTGCTACTGAAAACTTATAATAAACTATTGACATGCAAGACAAAACTCAATTGTAACGCAACTTGAAACGAAATAAAGAAACACAACGCAGTACGTTAGGTGTTTATCACAGAATTCGACCAAGTAATTGTGATTAAAATCTAGATATTCTCACGAAGCGGGGCCGTGGCGACAATACAGAAAACCAATTGTACCTAGGGCGCTCAATCTAATTGTTTCACTAGTTTGATTCACAGAACTTCAGCAGAGTGTACAAATTTTAATCTTAATTAAAAATCAAAACTTTTATTTCAATTGTGATTTTAATGCAAACTGCACAGTGCACGATACAACGCAGAAATTGTATGGACAGATTTGTGATAGTGTGCGTTTGCTTGATAACGAGTGATTGCCACAGATGGAGGTACTTTGTAGCGTGAAGGTAAACTCTCGTGCATTTCAAGAGGCAAATAAATTAAATTCCAAACTCTTGTATCAAAGCTTAATAAAAGAAATAACACAATAAAACCCTTTTTTTTTTCAAATGCTTCTATATTTTACGATTTAAAACACTAAACAATTATACTATATTTCTAAAAGTCTTTAACCATTAGACTGTATTAGTCTTAGTGAAATATACTTTTCATTTTAACTAAATTGTCTTAAACGAGCCTCAACAAGGCGGAGTAATTTAACAACCCGTCAAATTAAATATGTCACAATCAAAGAGGCGGATAGCCGATGTCTTAGACGAACATGTTTAGCCACGTCAAAATGGTGCATGCCCAAACAAAAGTGGCACTTACGAATAGTTCTTCAAACATAGACGATATTTGACGAACACTTAAACAGTTTGTTCATTATGGTCATATAATTTATCCATGTACATAAATCATTTAAAATTCCAATATTTAATAATTATTTGAAAAAGATGTTTATAAAAAAAAAGTCTCAATATAAAACTAATGTTATTACTCTCAAACATGGTATTATGTTTTCTTGGGAACTAATCACACTAATATATTGAACAAAATTATTTTTACTAATTATTTTTACTAATTATTTAATAATAAACGTATATATTGAAGTAGGCATATTCTCCTTACTTTCCCGAATGACATTTATTAATAATGGTCAGGTTCAATCTTAATAATTCTTCGAATTAAAAAAACGAAAAACTTATTCTAAAAATATGAATGAAACTAACATAATGTAATCATAATTGACGAAATAATAAAATATTTTATTTTGATTTTAAACACGGTTCGCATAATTCAACGCTCAAAAATTAACAAATATTTTAAATTAAAAATCAATTTTAAAATACAAATTAACATATATTATAAACCATTCTCTTCAAAACCATCTGTAACTAAAAAGACTACTAACATTTTATAATAAAAAATAAGAATAGTAACAAAATTTTTTAGCATTTTGTGTGTGTAGATTATGAAAATTAAAAAATACATTATAAAAATATTAATACTAAATAATTCATGTGATCCGTCGAAAAAATAAATTAAAAACTAATACTTATGTTATTGATCTGTTAAACGATAGTAATAAATTAAATATTATAAGAAAACTAATAAAAGTATACTAAATCTGAAATAAATCGTAAGTAAAAAAAATTGCAAAATAATAACAAATCGATTTTGAAAAACTGCCAAATAGTCACGTAAGGTTTATGAATCTATGAGCCGTGTGCTTTTGCTTGATGCCTTTTGAGAGTATCTTGGCAACCATATGATTTGTCACAGGCTGAGCATTTGTATCGTACCCCACCAATATGTATGCGTTCATGAATTATGAGATAGGACTTTAAACTGAATGATTTTTCACAGACATCGCATTTAAATGGTTTCTCGCCGGTATGTGTTCTTTCATGAACTTTGAGGTTAGATTGTATATTAAAACATTTTTCACAGACATCGCATTTAAATGGTTTCTCGCCGGTATGTGTTCTTTCATGAACTTTGAGGTTAGATTGTATATTAAAACATTTTTCACAGACATCGCATTTAAATGGTTTCTCGCCGGTATGTGTTCTTTCATGAACTTTGAGGTTAGATTGTATATTAAAACATTTTTCACAGACATCGCATTTAAAGGGTTTCTCTTCGGTATGAATACGTGCATGGTTCTTGAGATGAGTTTGTTGACTGAATGTTTTTTCACAGACAACGCATTTATAAGGTTTTTCACCAGTATGTATCCTTTCATGTTTTTTAAGACTTTGTTGTAGACTAAATGTTTTTTCACAGACATCGCATTTAAACGGTTTCTCGCCGGTATGAATACGTGCATGTCTCTTGAGAGCAGATTGATGACTGAATGTTTTTTCACAGACATCGCACTTAAAAGGTTTCTCGGCGGTGTGTATGCGTTCATGAGTTTTGAGGTGAGATATCTGACCAAATTTTTTTTCACAAATATTGCATTTAAAGGGCTTCTCGCCGGTATGTATCCTTTTATGAATTTTGATGTAAGATTGGTCGCAAAAAGCCTTTTGACAGACATCGCATTTAAACGGTTTTTCGACGGTATGTGTGCGTTTATGAATCTTGAGCTGATGTTGTCTACCAAATGTTTTTTCACAGATATCGCATTTAAAGGGTTTCTCCCCGGTATGAACGCGCCAATGTCTTCTCAGGCTTGATTTTAATGAAAACGTTTTCAAACAAATACCACAATTAAATAGGCCATCTTTGTTTCGAGTATTTCCTTTGATTTTGCTGTTACGATGATTGACTTTTTGAGGTGTTTTCTTTTCAATGGAATGCGATTTCGTAATATGCCGGATTATATTACTTTTGGTTGTAAACCTCCTCTGACACATATTGCAGTCGAACCGACGTATTTTGTATATATTTTTCTGAAAATGATTATCTATAGTTTCGTTAAAACTACAATCCATTGTCTTTGTATTATTTGAGATATCTGTCGCTTTACACGAAAAATGAATACTGCAACACGTTTGAAACAAAACAAATTAATTTAAGAAAAATATATTTTGATGTTATATAGCAAGTTTTAATATTAAATATACAACGCATCCTTTTTAAGAATTAATTTGATTAATTTTAGATGACATACAAAAGTCTTCTTTACTCAATTTTTATTTGATCGAGTTGCCTAAACTTATCCTACATAATACAATGTAACGTTCACATTTATTAGAATATGGACAATAAACATCCGAGTGCCATAAGATTTAAAACTTAAAAAGTGTACTCTATCTAAGGTCCACTTTTACATAGAGTACCTTGAGACTTTTTATGACCGACGTCTTTTAACCTTAAACTTGACAGAAATAATAATAAATTCTCATAAACGACTAAACTATATTTTTGACATGGAAATGTCTTTTGGCTTGGGGACATTAAGAAAATGCTTGAATGACGCTGAACGCTACCGAGGAAAATGTGTGCGTGTGGCGCGATTAAGCGGATGTTTTGTGAATGAAACAGCTGATAAATAATTTTTAATGTCTGGCTAAAAATTAGAGATATGCGATCAGAGATATTATAGATAAGATATAAAATGTACGATATTGTAGATACAAAATGTAGAGATATAATATTAGAAATCAAATATGAGAGATAAGAAACGGGACATATCCATATAATAAATACCTCTTTGAAAAGAAAACAAAATGTGACTAATTAATAATATTTTATAAAGTTTTAAGTATTTTACTATGAGGACATTACTTATAGTCTATTTCATTAAAATTTTATATCAACTTTTATTTTTTATTTATGATAATTAAAAAATGTATTTAATAAAAATTAAACTAAACCCCATTACTTATTACATTGTTTTTTTTTTATAACTGTTGACATTAAAATTTTATTTTAAAAAATGACACATGTTCGCATTTTTTTTTTCTATTTTAATGTATGAAAGTTTTCTATATATGTATATTAAAAAAACCGGTACTTCTTATGCCAACGCAAACGTACGCTAACATCATGCGATGCTGCAGATGTTGACCGGACATCAAACCCACAATTAAATGTTTTCACAATTTTGTTTTTTTGATACTTTGATTTAACATTACATTGATAAGAGGTAGATGCGGTTTTAAAATAATATATTATTATATAAACAAGCATTTCCTAATATAAGTTAAATAATAGCGAAACGCTAACATCGATACCACTGATGGGTTTATGGAGGAGGATAACATAATTACAAAAGTATTAAAGTTTTGTTCAAGAAAAACAAAATGGTAATAAAAATAACCTTACTCATAATTATTGTCGACTTCATTATTTACTAAACACTTATTTGTTGTAGAAATTTCATTGTTTATGAACTTTATATCTAACGGTTTAGTATCAACGACTTCAAACGATTTTTCCAACAACTCTTCTTTTGTTTCATCATTTTCAGGTTTAATTTTCAATATATTAAACCGCTTCAAAACTCTATAATTGACATTAAACATTAGTTGTATTTCTGTGCTATATATGCATAGAGGATTAGTAGGACAACTAAATTGAACAATTTTAATTATTTTATTTAGTAACAAATAAAGTCTACTAATGATATAATAAAGATAATTTAGTTTACATTCTAAATGCGAAAATTAATCATATAATAAATTTTAAAAAAATTAGATTACCTAATCTATTCATAAAAATTTCTATTTAACATAAATTAAATTTTTAATAGTAAAAAACATAAATTTTAATATATAGTTTTTGTAATAATAAATGACACTTATTCGCATTTTTTTTTAACTTAATAAAAGAATGAAAAATAATTGTAAAAATGTTTTCTATATATTTATATAAATAACTCGGTAAGTATCGTACAAAACTTACGCTAACATAATTTGGTGTTGCAGACAACACACCCACAAATAAAATGTTTACAAATTTGTTTTTATAAATATTTTAATGGATCTCTATAAGGATAAGAGGTAGATGTAGTTTTAAATCAATCAATCTATTATTAAATGAACAAATGTTTCCTAATATAAGTTTAATGTTAGCGAAACGCCTATATTGATACCATCAGGCACAAGTTTTAATAGTTTTGTTTAAGATAAAATAAATGGTAATAAATATCGCCTTACTCATAAGTATCATCTACTTCATTCTTAACCAAATAATCCTCTACTATAGTTATTTCATTGTTTTTGAACAGCACATCAAACGGTTTTGGTTCAACGGAGTATTCTTCTGCATCGTCATTTTCAGGTTTAATATTCAACATATTTTACCGTTTCAAAACTCTGTAATTGACATTGAGCTTTAGTTGTTTTTTTCTGTACCACTTATGCAAAGAGGTTTAAATAGGATACTAAATTGCAGTTTTAACTATTTTATTAAGTAACAAATAAAGTAATAATAATGATATAGTAAAGAATAATTTAGTTTACATTACTTGTAAAAAACCACTGAGTTTTCAGTAGTATATTTTGTTCTTTTAAACATTTAAAACTTAATTTTAATTTACTCGAATTAGATAAATAACACAAAGCTACAAGCATGACTTATTGGTAAAAAGCTAACACAATAAAGATTAAAGCTAGACGATTGGCCATTTTGCCGACTAGATTACTTTAAAATGGTGTTGATCCCATATCACTCTACTCAACTCCGGATAAATAAGTAACAAGCAACCAAATAAAAATTATGATACTTTTTATTCAGAAGCAGTGTTTTAATTCCGCGGGAGACAGTAAACGCGGCAATTATGTATATAAATTAGAAATACAAAACAATAGGTACTCACACAACGTAGAACCATAAACCACCTTCCAGCGCTGCTAATAAAACTTATAATAAATTATTGACATGCAAGACAAAACACAATTGTAACGAAATAACGAAACACGACGCAATACTTAAGGTATTTATCGTAGAATTCGACCAAGTTAATATGATTGAAATCTAGAGATGTTCACGAGTCGGACCCGTGGCACCAATACTGCAAACAAATTGGCTGTTTTATTTATTTAAATATAACAGCTTGTATATTTACCTAACGTGTACAGCACAAAGTTATTAACAGAATGTCTGCTTGGAAAAAAGACGCCAAGCGTGTAGACGAAGTCGTGTGAGATTATCGATTGGCGGACCAAAAATGGCTGCGGCATCGTCCTTACGCTTCTCCCGGCGCAGGTGGGGGTACGATGGGTAGTGGTACCAACCGACACCGCGTTGCCAGCGTTTCACTGCGGTAGAGTAGGTGGTGATACCAACAATCATCACATTAGATGTGATTCCAATGAAAACTGAATGACAACGCAGAAATTATATGGACAGATAGTGTGTGTTTGTGTGATAACAAGTGATTGCCACATATGGAGGTACTTTGTAGCGTGGAGGTAAACGGTCTTGCAATTTAGGAGGCAAAGAAATAAAATGCGATTTCGCAATATGCCGGATTATATTACTTTTGGTTGTAAACCTTCTTTGACATATATTACAGTCGAACTTGCAGTGTATTTTGTGTATGTTTTTCTCAGAATCGTTTTCTATAGTTTTGTTCAAACTGCAATCCATGGTTTTTGTTTTGTTTAAGGTATCGGTCGCTTTACACGGAAAATGAATACTGCAACATGTATGGAATATAATAGATTAATTTAAGACAAATATACTTTGATATTATACAGCAAGTATTAATATTACTAATATTAAATGTACAACGCATCATTTTTAAGAATTCATTTTATTGATTTTACATGACATACAATAATCTACTATTAAGGCTATTTTTATTTGATTGTGTTGCCTAAACTTATCCTATAAAATACAATGTAACGTTCGCATTTATTAGAATATGGACAATAAACATCCGAGTGCCATAAGATTTAAAACTTAAAAAGTGTACTCTATCTAAAGTCCACTTTTACATTGAGTACCTTAAGACATTTAAATGACCGACGTCTTTTAACCCTTAACTCGGCAGAAATAAAAATTTCACATGAAACGACTAAATTAAATTTTTAACATGAATATGGCTTTTGGATCAGGGACATTAAGAAAATCTTTGCGTGCGTGCGTGAATGGCACTGAACGTTACAAAAGACAATGTGTGCGTGTGCCGCTATTAAGCGGATGTTTTGTAACTTAAAGAACTGATAAATAATTTTTAATGTCTGGCTAAAAAATAGAGATATGCGATAAGAGATATTATAGATAAGATATAAAATGTACGATATTGTAGATACAAAATGTAGAGATATAATATTAGAAATAAAATATGAGAGATAAGAAACGAGACATATCCATATAATAAATACCTCTTTGAAAAGAAAACAAAATGTAACTAATTAATAATATTTTTATAAAGTTTTAAGTATTTTACTATGAGGACATTACTTATAGTCTATTTCATTAAAATTTTCTATCAACTTTAAATTTTTATTTATGATAATTAAAAAATGTATTTAATAAAAATTAAACTAAACCCCATTACTTATTACATTATTTTTTTTTTATAACTGTTAACATTAAGTTTTTATTTTAAAAAATTACACCTGTTCGCATTTTTTTTCTATTTTAATGTATGAATGTTTTTATATATGTATATAAATAAACACGGTAAGTCTCATGCAAACGCAAGCGTAAGCTGACATTATGCGATTCTGCAGACGTCGACCGGTCATCATACCCACAAATAAATAACAATTTTTTTTTTTTTGATACTTTGATTTAACATTATATTGATAAGAGGTAGATGCGGTTTTAAAACAATCTGGTATTATATGTATAAGTGGTTCCTATAATAAGTTTAATAACGGAACGCTAACATCGATACCAACGAAGGGTTTATAGAGGAGAACAACATAATTCAAGTTCATAGGTATATTTTGTGTTTTTTAAACATTTAAAACGAAATTTTAATTTATCTTAATTAGATCAATAACACAAAACTACAAGTATGACTTTTAGATAAAAAGCTAATACCATAAAGATTTAAGCTGGACAATAGCTCATTTGGCCGACTAAATTTAAAGTGGTAATAATCTTTACTTATGTATTATATATGTATATATTAATATAAATAATATAATCCCTTATGTTTTATAATAGCCTAAAAACAAGCTATAAGTATAGAAAAAGGAAAAGATAAGTGGATTACGTTACTCACTGCTTTCCAGAGCTGCTAATAAAAACTTGTAAAAATTATTGACATGCAAGACAAAACACAAATATAATGCAACTTGAAACGAAATAAAGAAACACAACGTAATACGTTTGGTATTTATCACAGAATTCGACCAAGTTATTATGATGAAAATCTAGAGTTGTTCACGAATCAAACCCGTGGCGACAATACAGAAAACAAATTGCTAAATCTAATTTAACTAGTTTGATTTACACAACTTCAGAGTGTACAAAAATAAATCTTAATTACTAACAAAATCAAAACTTTTATTTTATAATAATTGTGATTTTAATGCAAACCGCACAGTGCACGACAACGCAGAAATTGTATGGACAAATAGTGTGTGTTTGTGTGATAACGAGTCATTTCCACAGATGGAGGTACTTTGTAGCATGGAGGTAAACTGTCGTGCTTTTTAAGAGGCAAACAAATCAATACCCCAACACTTGTATTAAAGCTTTTTGTAAACTAACCTTCATCGACATCCTATAAAATTAATAAGTTTACCTAAGGCCTTATCTGCCATGGACACACTTTTCCTATGGCGTTAAATCGAATTTAACTAGCTTGATTTACAGAACTTCAGCAGAGTGTACAAATTTTAATCTTAATTAAAAATCAAAACTTTTATTTCAATTGTGATTTTAATGCAAACTGCACGGTGCGCGACACAACGCAGAAATTGTATGGACAGATTTGTGATAGTGTGCGTTTGCTTGATAACGAGTGATTGCCACAGATGGAGGTACTTTGTAGCGTGAAGGTAAACTCTCGTGCATTTCAAGAGGCAAATTAATTAAATTCCAAACTCTTGTATCAAAGCTTAATAAAAGAAATAACACAATAAAACCCTTTTTTCCCAAATGCATTATTTAACAACTATAAACAATTATACTATATTTCTAAAAGTGTTTAACCATTAGACTGTATTTAGTCTTAGTGAAATATACTTTTCATTTTAACTACACTGTCTTAAACGAGCCTCAACATAGGCAAAGTAGTAGAATTAAAATGATTTTTTTTAAACTTTTATTTTTGCTATAATATTATAATTGTTTAAGCGAAATGTGCACTAAGCGTACATTTTTTTCGAGAAACTAAATATGTGCTGGCTTTTGTGTTAATAGTTGGATTATTCAAATTACTTGGTTTTTTTTATCATAAAAGAAAATCTCACATTTAAAAAAACTATTCTATCCGTATGCAAGTTAGTTTTGTCTTTTCATAAAATCTCAAGAAAATGTATTGTTAGTATTACTAATTTTGTGTTACTCTCAATATAACAATGTAATAATATTACAAACATTTTACATAATATATATATATATATATATGTTATTGTATATAAACTTAGTATATATTACTATTATAGTATTTACCTAAAACTTAAGTTACCTTATCGATTTAATGGTAGGGCTTAGGTTCACACTCTCAGTGACATGATGGAGTCTGGAGGTTGAAGACATAGTGAATGAGTATCTAAATTCTAAATATAATGAAAATAATAAGTTATTAATTAACTCCTCATATTAGTTAATCCATGTCAACTGATAGTAGGTTAATTAAATTGCTCGTGTAATACTGTATATTTCTAGCAGTATTCAGTACTCTTTGTTCTATTGGTAATCACATATTATATTATTTGTTCGTAGAAATGTCATCACAAAAGTAAGGGGAAAATGTACTGGTAAAATTAATATTTAACTCTTTGTTGTTTTTCACCTTGACCATATGGCAGATAGTACATTTTTGAAACTGTGAATACAATTTTATTTCATATTCAAATTTATTTGTTTAAGTAATTATTACAAATTTTAAAACGACTAATTATTTTCAAACAAGTTTTGATATTCGGTAATTAAAAAAAAATCCTCACCCTGGCCATATATCGGATTGCATGGGGATGGGGCTAAATATGAAGAACAAAATAAGTTATCAATGTGAAATTACATAAACATGTGTATTATATACTGTTATGTTATATATGTGGTGAGCGCTCGCGAATGTTCTAGAACGGTCGCGCCGTGCAACACGTGTTGCATGGCCGCCGCCGTCACGTCTCCGCGAGAATCATCCCGAGCGTTCTCACACACCGCAATTGCCGCCCCGAGAATATTCTGTGGCCTATCTAAGCGCCGTACCACCAGACAGTCAGTTCAGTTCAACAATCGCATTCTGTCGAAACACAGTCTCACTCGATACACCGTCTTGCGACATCTCTCGTATTGTTTTATAGTTGTGTTACGTTGTATATTTTGTTTATTGTTAAATATTATTATTTTATTTTATTTAAATATAATATTTACATTTGGTTAGTAGTGACAGTGTTATATTTATTCGCACTCAATACACTTATTAACCATATATAGATACTGTTACTGAATAAGTTTCTGTTTCTTGAGTGTTTATTTCAATGAAAAAATGTTTAACATGTTTAGTTAAAAAGACGTTTTACCTTTTATTTATTAAGCAATTCACTTCGGCATAAGTAATTTTTTGCAAAAACTTCATTTAACGTTTTAACTATAATGGGTAATAAATAAATTTTAATATAAAAAGTTAATAGAATATACTCTACATTTTAAAAAACTTAAATTTTGAAGTTTTAAAAACGAAGTAAACTTTATTTACCCAAAAAGGTAAAAAATAACGAATAAAGCTAGAATTAGTTACATTCACTCATTTCGCTAAATTTGGATACGCCAGAGACTATGTATAGTATCAAGTTGAAAATACGTTAATTTTAGTGGGTTATTTTAGATTAAGAAAGTAGAAGAAATGAACTAGAAAAACGCACCGAGTCAATATCGAGTCAAAACACAAAGCATATTAAATATAAAAAAATGTCCAGTATCGATGCGGAGCTGAGAGTGTATTGATTTTACAAATTTGGTCTCACATTCTTTTGTTTTTTGTGTGTTTAAAAACGCTTAACAAAGCACAATTATTGTAGAAAATATTACAATCAGTAAATATTGTCTGCCAAGAACAGCCTAAAATAATAATAGAAGAAAGTTACTTTTTCAAACAAGTTTAATAAGATACCTAAATCAATTATATTGTGTTAAATAATATTAATATTATGCTATATAATATATAACAGTTTATAGAAAATATTTGTTTACACAGTTTTCGATTTAAGCATATGTTTGTTCATTTTAGTCAAGAAAATAAAAAGTAAATTTATATGGATACATATATTTCTATCAACTTACATAAATACTTAATACATTGGTATCTATTGGTAATGTTTGTACAATCTTCAACTACTCAATTTTTAACAGTGAAACTAAATTGCCAAATTTAATAACATGTTGAGTGCGTATAAAAAACACATTGGTTTCACTAAATGTCTTTGTGCAAGTGTATATATGATTGATCAGTTAAACGATAGTAATATTTAAAACATTTTAAGGAAACTAATAAAAATATATTAAATCTGAATTAAATTCCAAGTAAAAAAAATTGCAAATAATAACAAATAGATTCAAAACCTATTTTATAACTGCCAAATAGCCACGTGTGCTTTTGCTTGATGACTTTTGAGAGTATCTTGGCGACCATATGATTTATCACAGACTGAGCATTTGTGTTGTACCCCACCAATATGTATCCGTGCATGTCTCTTGAGATGAGATTGTTGACGAAATGTTTTTTCACAAACAACACATTTATAAGGTTTCTCACCGGTATGTCTTCTTTCGTGAGTTTTGAAGTTAGATTGTATATTAAAACATTTTTTACAGACATCGCATTTATATGGTTTCTAACTGGTATGTATGCGTTCATAAATTATGACTATTATAATATAATATTGACTGAATGCTTTATCACAGAAACGGCATTTAAATGGCCTCTCGCCGGTATGAACGCGTCAATGTCTTCTCAGGCTTGATTTTAATGAAAATAGGCCATCTTTGTTTGGATTATTTCTTTTGATTTTGCAGATACAATGATTGACTTTATTTTTTTGAGGTGTTATCGTGGGGTATATCGTACCCCACCAATATGTATCCGTGCATGTCTCTTGAGATGAGATTGTTGACGAAATGTTTTTTCACAGACATCGCATTTAAACGGTTTTACGCTGGTATGTATGCGTTCATGAGCTTTTAGGTGATGTTCTCTACCAAACGTTTTTTCACAGACATCGCATTTAAACGGTTTCTCGCCGGTATGAATACGTGCATGGTACTTGAGATGAATTTGTTGATTGAATGTTTTTTCACAGACAACGCATTTATATGGTTTCTCACCGGTATGTATCCGTGCATGTCTCTTGAGATGAGATTGTTGACGAAATGTTTTTTCACAGGCACGGCATTTAAATGGTATTTTGTACATATTTTTCTTAGAATTGTTTTTTATAGTTTCAATAAAACTGCAATCTTTGGTTTTTGTATTTTTTGAGGTATCGGTCGCATTACACGAAAAATGAATACTGCAACACGTATGAAACAAAACAGATTAATTTAGGACAAATATTGATGTTATGCAGCAAGCATTAATATTACTAATATTAAATGTACAATCCATCATACACGCATCCTTTTTAAGAATTAATTTTATTGATTTTACAAGATATACAAAGATCTTCTATTACTTATCGAGTTGCCTGAACTTATTATACATAATACAATGTAACGTTCACATTTGTTAGAATATGGACAATAAACATCCGAGTGCCATAAGATTTAAAACTTAAAAAGTGTACTCTATCTAAAGTCCACTTTTACATTGAGTACCTTAAGACTTTTTAATGACCGACATCTTTTAACCCTTAACTCGGCAGAAATAAAAATTTCACATTGAACGACTAAATTAAATTTTTAACATGAATATGGCTTTTGGATCAGGGACATTAAGAAAATCTTTGCGTGCGTGCGTGAATGGCACTGAACGCTACAAAAGACAATGTGTGCGTGTGCCGCTATTAAGCGGATGTTTTGTAACTTAAACAACTGATAAATAATTTTTAATGTCTGGCTAAAAAATAGAGATATGCGATAAGAGATATTATAGATAAGATATAAAATGTACGATATTGTAGATACAAAATGAAGAGATATAATATTAGAAATAAAATATGAGAGATAAGAAACGAGACATATCCATATAATAAATACCTCTTTGAAAAGAAAACAAAATGTAACTAATTAATAATATTTTTATAAAGTTTTAAGTATTTTACTATGAGGACATTACTTATAGTCTATTTCATTAAAATTTTCTATCAACTTTAAATTTTTATTTATGATAATTAAAAAATGTATTTAATAAAAATTAAACTAAACCCCATTACTTATTACATTACTTTTTTTTTATAACTGTTAACATTAAGGTTTATTTTAAAAAATGACACCAGTTCGCATTTTTTTATATTTTAATGTATGAATGTTTTCTATATATGTATATAAAAAAACCCAGTACTTCTTATGCCAACGCAAACGTACGCTAACATCATGCGATGCTGCAGACGTTGACCGGACATCAAACCCACAAATAAATGTTTTCACAATTTTGTTTTTTTGATACTTTGATTTAACATTATATTGATAAGAGGTAGATGCGGTTTTAAAATAATATATTATTATATGAACAAGTGGTTCCTAATATAAGTTTAATAATAGCGATACACTAACATCAATACCAATGATGGGTTTATGGAGGAAGATAACATAATTACAAACGTTTTAAAGTTTTGCTTAAGAAAAAAAAAATGGTATTAAAAATAACCTTACTCATAATTATTGTCGACTTCATTCTTTACCAAACACTCTTCTGTTGTAGAAATTTCATTGTTTAAGAACTGCATATCTAACGGTTTAGTTTGAACGACTTCAAACGATTTTTCCAACAACTCTTCTTCTGTTTCATCATTTTCAGGTTTAATTTTCAATATATTAAACCGCTTCAAAACTCTATAATTGACATTTAACATTAGTTGTATTTTTGTGCTATATATGCATAGAGGATTAGTAGGACAACTAAATTCACAATTTTAATTATTTTATTTAGTAACAAATATAGTCTACTAAAGATATAATAAAGATAATTTAGTATACATTCTAAATGCGAAAATTGGAAATATTAAAAATTTTAAAAAAATTAGATAGCCTAATCTATTCATAAAAAATGTCTATTTAACTTAAATGAAATTTTTGATACTAAAAAAACATAAATTTTAATATATAGTTTTTGTCATAAAAAATGACATTTATTCGCATTTTTTTTTTTTTTAATAAAAGAATGAAAAATAATTGTAAAAATGTTTTCTATATATTTATATAAATAACTCGGTAAGTATCGTTCAAAACTTACGCTACAAACCCACAAATTAAATGTTTACAATTTTTTTTTTTTAAATATTTTAATGGATTTTTATATTGATAACAGGTAGATGTAGTTTTAAAACAATCAAACTATTATTAAATGAACAATTGGTTCCTAATATAAGTTTAATGTTAGCGAAACGATTATATTGATACCATCAGGCACAAAATTTAATAGTTTTGTTCAAGATAAAAAAAAAGGTACTAAAAATCGCCTTACTCATAAGTATCATCGACATCATTCTTTACCAAATAATCCTCTACTATAGATATTTCATTGTTTTTTAACAGCACATCAAACGGTTTTGGTTTAACGGAGTATTCTTCTGCATCGTCATTTTCAGGTTTAATATTCAACATATTATACCGTTTCAAAACTCTGTAATTGACATTGAACTTTAGTTGTATTTCTGTACCACATATGCATAGAGGTTTAAATAGGACTACTAAATTGCAGTTTTATTTATTTTATTAAGTAACAAATAAAGTAATAATAATGATATAGTAAAGAATAATTTAGTTTACATTACTTGTAAAAAACCACTGAGTTTTCAGTAGTATATTTTGTTCTTTTAAACATTTAAAACTTAATTTTAATTTACTCGAATTAGATAAATTAGACAAAGCTACAAGCATGGCTTATAGGTAAGAAGCTAACACAATAAAGATCAAAGCTAGACGATTGGCCATTTTGCCGACTAGATTACTTTAAAATGGTGTTGATCCCATATCAATCTATTCAACTCCGGATGAACAATAAGTAACAAGCAACCAAATAAAAATTATGATTCTTTTTATTCAGAAGCAGTGTTTTAAGTCCGCGGGAGACAGTTAACACGGCAATAATGTATATAAATTAGAAATACAAAACAATAGGTACTCACACAATGTAGAACCGTAAACCGTCTTCCAGAGCTGCTAATAAAAACTTCTAATAAATTATTGACATGCAAGACAAAACACAATTGTAACGAAATAACGAAACACGACGCAATACTTAAGGTATTTATCGCAGAATTCGACCAAGTTATTATGATTGAAATCTAGAGATGTTCACGAATCGGACCCGTGGCACCAATACTGCAAACAAATTGGCAGTTTTATTTATTTAAATATAACAGCTTGTATATTTACCTAACGTGTACAGCACAAAGTTATTAACAAATCAGGGACAAGATTACAAATTATTAACGAACAAGATTCGACACAAGTAATTAACAGAATGTCTGCTTGGAAAAAAGACGCCGAGCGTGTAGACGATGTCGTGCGAGATTATCGATTGGGCGGACCGAAGATGGCAGCTGGCTAGCAGCTGGGCCGGCGTCTTAACGCTACACCCGGCGCAGTAGGTGGTACGGTAGGTAGTGGTACCAACCGACACTGCGGTAGAGTAGGTGGTGATACTAACTGACGACGCACAAATGATATGGACAGATAGTGTGTGTTTGTGTGATAACAAGTGATTGCTACAGATGGACGTACTTTGTAGCGTGGAGGTAAACGGTCGTGCAATTTAGGAGGCAAAGAAATAAAATTCCCAACTCTTGTATCAAGCTTATTGTAATCTTACCTTCATCGACATCCTATAAAATTAATAAATGAGTTTACCTTAGGCTTTATCCCCCATGGACACACTTTTCGCTAATTGTGTTAGAATACTTAGGCCCCCCACCAAGGGCGGATACAGAAGTCCTAAACAGGGGGGGCAATATATATATATATATATATATATATATATATATATATATATATATATATATGAATAAAATAAATTAATAGGAATAGCTAGGCATAGGAATTGTCTTATTATATGTCGTCATGAAAATAAGATATGTACAGAAATCAGCCATACTGATGAATGTGATGGGTTTTATTGTTTTAGAAGACACCTACCTTTTTAATTTGTATTTTCTTAAAGTATGATGTCTTGAAAATATTATCTGAAAATTTTATGTTAATCAAAGGAATAGATAACTCGATGTAAGTAATTAAATAATTTATTTTTGTATACATGAATCGAGTATAAAACTTTTCAAATAAGTTTTTTCTCGAAACTATTTCTTCAAAGACGGTGACCACTGTAATTCAAAAACTACTTCACAGATTGAATGAAATTTATATAGCTTATTAAAAACATAAAAAACTAGTGCCTGGTCAAAGGTTTTTTTTTATAAAAAATTATATTTTTTATAAACAATATGTTGTAATACTATACATACATATAGTATCAGAGTGCGAGTAGTGATGATAATCAAGTATTCAACACAAATAAAGTTATTACAATAATAGACATATTATACATAGAATATATACAACACAGTGAAAAAATAATACACTAGTAATATGTATAAACTGAATAGAAATACTGGGCCCCAAGCCCTTAGATCAAATGCTATTTATATTAACCCACAAGGTTGCACGCGTCTACACATACACGTGTGCTTACAAAAACAACTTTGTTTTTCTATAACATTTCCTGGTTAACAACTACGTATTTTTATTATACAGATAAACAACATATTTATATATTGTGAAATACTTCTTGATATATAGAATATTAATTATTATTCCAACACACCCCCTTAATTAATATTTTCTTAACACTATATTGATCTTCTGTGATCCTCTTCACGCCTATGATTGACCGTAACTTTTCAAGTCTGTCCTTGGCTAATGGCTTCGTGAAGATGTCAGCTAGTTGGTTTTCTGTTTCTTTGTACTGCAGTTCAAATACACCTTCTTCAAACTTCTCCCGAATGAAATGATAACGAACATCAATATGTTTTGACCTCTTGTGAAAAACTGCATTCCTAATCAAACGAATTGTACTTTGATTATCTATATACAAAATAGGTTTATACAATCCCTTTTCATTAGTTAATTCAGTTAACAATCTTTTAAACCAAATTAAACTTCTTATCGATTCGCAGCTGGCGACGAACTCAGATTCAGTTGAACTCAGAGTAACTGATGCTTGACGTTGTGAATTCCACTCTATTGTACAAGGTCCCGCAACAAATAAATGTTCCGAAGTAGATCTTCGTGTTTGAATGTCGCCGGCATAATCCGAATCGCTGTAGACACTCAAAAATAAATTATCATCTGATTTATAACACAAACCATAATCTAATGTATGTTTAACATAACGCATTATACGCTTGACCATTTGCCAGTGTGCATTTGTAGGTTTTGCAAGAAAACGACTTGCATAATTAAGTGTAAACGCTAAATCCGGTCTTGTTACTTGTGACAGAAATAACAGTGACCCTACTGCTTGTCTATAAAAATTATTACCTGGCTGTAATGCCTGCGTATCTGTGTTATCGAATGACGTGTCTGTTCGAGATATGGGGACAGAAACTTCTTTAGAATTATTCATATTAAATCTTTCAATAATATTATTTGCATACTTGGCCTGATGAATGAATAATGAACCATCATTTTGTTTCTCTATTGACATACCTAGGAAATTATCTAAATCTCCTTGTGTGATTTGAAACTTTAAGAATTAATTTTATTGATTTTACATGACAAATAATGATCTACTATTAAGGCAATTTTTATTTGATCGAGTTGCCTAAACTTATCCTATAAAATACAATGTAACGTTCACGTTTATTAGAATATGGACAATAAACATCCAAGTGCCATAAGATTTGAAGCTTAAAAAGTGTACTCTATCTAAAGTCTCTTACTTAAACTCGAAAATATCTTAATTATGCAGAAGTGTTCTGAAATCATTTTTAAATAATATTACCATATGCTATATAATTATAACAGTTTATTGGTAATTTTTATTTACACAGTTTTCGATTTAAGCACATATTTGTTCATTTTAGTCAAGAATAAAAAGTAAACTTATATGGGTACATATGTTTCTACCAATTAACACTAAATGTAAATACTAAATACATTGGTACTATTGGTAAAGTTTTCAGTCTTAAGTTACTCAATTTAACAGTAAAACTAAATTGCCAAATTATATAACATGTTGAGTATACGTTAAAAACGTATAAAACACATTAGTTTCACTAAATACTTTTGTGCAAGTGTGTATGTTAATAATCAGTTAAACGATAGAAATATTAAATAATGATAAGAAAACTAATACAAATATAATATATCTGATATAAATCCTAAGTAAAAAAATTTGCAAAAAAATAACGAATCGATTTTTGAAAAACTATTTTGAAACTGCCAAATAGCCACGTGAGGTTTATGAATCTATGAGCCGTGTGCTTTTGCTTGATGACTTTTGAGAGAATCTTGGCGACCATAAGATTTATCACAGACTGAGCATTTGAGTCGTACCCCACCAATATGTATACGTGCATGTCTCTTAAGGTGATATTGTTGAAGGAATGTTTTTTTACAGATATCGCATTTATACGGTTTCTCGCCAGTATGTATACGTGCATGTTTCTTGAGATCAGATTGTTGAATGAACGGTTTTCCACAGACAACGCATTTAAATGGTTTCTCGCCGGTATGTGTTCTTTCATGAGTGTTGAGTGAAGACTGGACACCAAATGTTTTTTCACAGCAATTGCATTTAAAAGGTTTAACTCCGGTGTGTATGCGTTCATGAGTTTTTAGGTGAGCTTGTCTACCAAATGTTTTTTCACAGACATTGCATTTGAAAGGTTTTTCTCCGGTGTGTGTTCTTTTATGAGTTTTGAGGTTACATTGTCTATTAAAACATTTTTCACAGACATCGCATTTAAAGGGTTTCTCTCCGGTATGTATGCGTTCATGAGCTTTGAGGTGATATTGTAGAACGAATGTTTTTTCACAGACAACGCATTTATATGGTTTCTCATCGGTATGTATACGTGCATGTCTCTTGAGATTAGATTCTTCAATGAATGCCTTTTCACAGACAACGCATTTAAATAGTTTCTCGCCGGTATGTACACGTGCATGTCTCTTGAGATCAGAATGTTGAATGGAGGTTTTTTCACAGACAACGCATTTATAAGGTTTCTCACCAGTATGTATGCGTTCATGAATCTTGAGGTGAGATATCTGACCAAATCTTTTTATACAGTCATCGCATTTATAGGGTTTCTCGCCAGTATGTATGCGCCAATGTCTTCTCAGGTTTGATTTTGATGAAAAAGTTTTCACACAAATACCACAATTAAATAGACCATCTTTGTTTTGAGTATACTTTTTGATTCTGCTGTTACGATGATTGACTTTATTTTTTTGAGGTGCTTTCTTTTCAATGGAAGTACTAGAATGTGATTTCGCAATGTGCCGGATTATATTACTTTTGGTTATAAACCTCCTTTGACATATATTGCAGTCGAACCGACGTAATTTGTGTATGTTTTTCTCAGAATCGTTTTCTATAGTTTTGTTCAAACTGCAATCCATGGTTTTTGTATTGTTTGAGGTATCGGTCGCTTTACACGGAAAATTAATACTGCAACATGTATGGAACATAATAGATTAATTTAAGACAAATATATTTTGATATTATACAGCAAGTATTAATATTACTAACATTAAATAAACAACGCAACATTTTTAAGAATTAATTTTATTGATTTTACATGACATACAATAATCTACTATTAAGGCTTTTTTTATTTGATTGTGTTGCCTAAACTTATCCTATAAAATACAATGTAACGTTCGCATTTATTAGAAAATGGACAATAAACATCCGAGTGCCATAAGATTTGAAACTTAAAAAGTGTACTCTATCTAAAGTCCACTTTTACATTGAGTACCTTAAGATTTTTAAATGACCGACGTCTTTTAACCCTTAACTCGGCAGAAATAAAAATTTCACATGAAACGACTAAATTAAATTTTTAACATGAATATGGCTTTTGGATCAGGGACATTAAGAAAATCTTTGCGTGCGTGCGTGAATGGCACTGAACGTTACAAAAGACAATGTGTGCGTGTGCCGCTATTAAGCGGATGTTTTGTAAATTAAAGAACTGATAAATAATTTTTAATGTCTGGCTAAAAAATAGAGATATGCGATAAGAGATATTATAGATAAGATATAAAATGTACGATATTGTAGATACAAACTGTAGAGATATAATATTAGAAATAAAATATTAGAGATAAGAAACGAGACATATCCATATAATAAATACCTCTTTGAAAAGAAAACAAAATGTAACTAATTAATAATATTTTTATAAAGTTTTAAGTATTTTACTATGAGGACATTACTTATAGTCTATTTCATTAAAATTTACAAATGTACAACGCATCATTTTTAAGAATTAATTTTATTGATTTTACATGACATACAATAATCTACTACTAAGGCAATTTTATTTGATTGAGTAGCCTAAACTTATCCTATAAAATACAACGTAACATTCACATTTGTTAAAATAAGGATAATAAACGTCCGAATAACATAAGATTTAAAATCTTGAAAGTCTACATTGAGTACCTTGAGACTTTTTAATGACCGACTTCTTTTAACCCTTAACTCAGCAGAAATAAAAATTTCACACTGAACGACTAAACTTAATTTTTAACATGGATATGGCGTTTGGATCGGGGACATTAAAAAAATCTTTGCGTGCGCGCGTGAATAAGACTGAACGTTACCGAAGACAATGTGTGCGTGTGGCGCTATTAAGAGGATGTTTTGTAAATGAAAGAGCTGATAAATAATTTTTAATGTCTGGCTAAAAATTAGAGATATTATAGATAAGATAAGATATAAAATATACGATATTGTAGATACAAACTTAGAGATAAAATATTAGAAATAAAATATAAGAGATAAGAAACGAGACATACTCATTTAATAAATACCTCCTTGAAAAGAAAACAAAATGTATCTAATTAATAATTATTTTTAAAAGTTTTAAGTATTTTAATATGAGGACATTACTTAAAGTCGATTTCATTAAAATTTTCCGCTCAACTTTTAATTTTTAATTGATTAAAATGAATTTAATAAAAAATAAACAAACGCTATTACTTATTACATTATTTTTTTTTTATAACTGTTAGCATTAAGTATTTATTTTAAAAAATCACACCTTTTTTTTTTTTCATGTGTCGATGTATCGACGTGGATAGCGTGGATACTAACAGTTTTTTTTTACTATTTAATACCCATAGAGATCATTTTTGAATTTTTTTTTTTAATGTACATCTTTTTTATAATAGCGTCTATCTTAAGATAGACCACCTCATTGAATAATTCAATAGATGTATCTTTAAATATACACTACTTCATCGACCTATTAAGAAAAAAAAATATAATGCTATCTTACTTAATAGTTTATGATTTTGTAGAGAAGATATTAATCATTATACTATATTTATATATATATATATTTATAAATTTAAAATTATAAGTAATCGCTTCATTTTTTTTATTTTTTTTCTTCATTTTTTGATACTTTGATTTAAAATTATATTGATAAAAGGCAGATGCGGTTTTAATTAAAATAATATATTATTATATTAACAAGCAGTTCCTAAAATAAGGATAATAATAGCGAAACGCTAACATCGATACGACTGATGGGTTTATCGAGGAGGATAACATAATTACAAAAGTATTAAAGTTTTGTTCAAGAAAAACAAAATGGTAATAAAAATAACCTTACTCATAATTATTGTCGACTTCATTCTTTACCAAACACTTATTTGTTGTAGAAATTTCATTGTTTATGAACTGCATATCAAACGGTTTAGTTTTAATGACTTCAAACGATTTTTCCAACAACTCTTCTTCTGTTTCATCATTTTCAGGTTTAATTTTCAATATATTAAACCGCTTTAAAACTCTATAATTGACATTTAACATTAGTTGTATTTCTGTGCTATATATGCATAGAGGATTAGTAGGACAACTAAATTCACAATTTTAATTATTTTATTTAGTAATAAATATAGTCTACTAATGATATATAAAGATAATTTAGTTTACATTTTAAATGGGAAAATTAATCATATTATAAATTTAAAAAAAATTAGATTAACTAATCTATTCATAAAAAATGTCTATTTAACAAAAATGAAATTTTTGATAGTAAAAAAACATGAATTTTAATATATAGTTTTTGTAATAAAAAATGACACTTATTCGCATTTTTTTTTAATTTAATAAAAGAATGAAAAATAATTGTAAAAATGTTTATATATATATTTATATATATAAATATATATAGTGTGCGTTTGTTTGATAACGAGTGATTGCCACAGATGGAGGTACTTTGTACCGTAAAGGTAAACTGTCGTGCATTTTCGGAGGCAAATAAATTAAATTCCAAACTCTTGTATCAAAGCTTATTAAAAGAAATAACACAATAAAAACTTTTTTTTTCAAATGCTTCTATATTTTACGATTTAAAACACTTAACAACTATAAACAATTATACTATATTTCTAAAAGTCTTTAACCATTAGACTGTATTAGTCTTAGTGAAATATCATTTTCATTTTAAGTACACTGTCTTAAACGAGCCTCAACATAGACATAGTAATTTAACAACCCGTCAAAGTAAATATATCACAATCAAAGAGGCGGATAGCCGATGTCTTAGATGAACATGTTGAGCCACGTCAAAATGGTGCATGCCCAAAAAAAGTGGCACTTACGAATAGTTCTTTAAACATAGACGATATTTGACGAACACTTAAACAGATTGTTTATTATAGTCATATAATTTATCCATTTACATAAATCTTTTAAAATTCCAATATTATAGTAATTATTTGAAAAAAATTTTTATAAAAAATCCAATATAAGTCTCAATATAAAACTAATGTTGTTACTCTCAAACACGGTATTATGTTTTCATGGGAACTAATCACACAAATATATTGAACAAAATTATTTAATAATAAACGTATATATTGAAGTAGGCATATTCTCCTCACTTTCCCAAATGACATTTATTAATAATTGTCAGGTTTGGTTTACTGTCGTTCAAACTTAATAATTCTTCGAATTAAAAAACGAAAAACTTATTCTAAAAAATATGAATGAAACTAACATAATATAATCATAGTTGACAAAATAATAATACATTTTATTTTGAATTTTAAACATGGCCCGCATAATTCAACGCATAAAAATAAATAAATATTTTAAATTAAAAATCAATTTTAATAAACAAATTAACATATACTATAAACAATTTTTCTTAAAAACCATCAGTAACTAAAAAAGACTACTAACATTTTATAATAAAAAATAAGAATAGTAACAATATTTTTTAGCATATTGTGTGTGTAGATTATAAAAATTAAAAAACTCATTATAAAAATTTAAATACTAAATAATTCATGTGATCCGTAGAAAAAAAAATTAAACGAATACTTATGTTATTGATCTGTTAAACGATAGTAATAAATAAAATATTATAAGAAAACTAATAAAAGTATACTAAATCTGTAATAAAGTAAAAAAAATTGCAAAATAACAACAAATCGATTTTGAAAAACTGCCAAATAGTCACGTAAGGTTTATGAATCTATGAGCCGTGTGCTTTTGCTTGATGCCTTTTGAGAGTATCTTGGCGACCATATGATTTGTCACAGGCTGAGCATTTGTATCGCACCCCACCAATATGTATGCGTTCATGAATTATGAGAGAGGACTTTTGACCGAATGTTTTTTCACAGACATCGCATTTATATGGTTTCTCACCGGTATGTATGCGTTTATGAATTTTGAGACTAATTTGTTGACTGAATGTTTTTTCACAGACAACGCATTTATAAGGTTTCTCACCGGTATGTCTTCTTTCGTGAGTTTTGAGGGTAGACTGTACATTAAAACTTTTTTTACAGACATCGCATTTAAACGGTTTTTCACCAGTATGGGTGCGTTCATGAATTTTGAGGTTTGATAGTCTACCAAATGTTTTTTCACAGATGTCGCATTTAAAGGGTTTCTCCCCAGTATGAACGCGCCAATGTCTTCTCAGGCTTGATTTTAATGAAAATGTTCTTAAACAAGTACCACAATTAAACGGTTTCTCGCCGGTATGTACACGTGCATGTTTCTTAAGATGAATTTGTTGAGTGAATGTTTTTTCACAGACATCGCATTTAATTAGTTTCTCGGCGGTATGTGTTCTTTCATGAGTTTTGAGGTTAAATTGTCTATTAAAACATTTTTCACAGACAACGCATTTATAGGGTTTCTCATCGGTATGTATACGTAAATGTCTCTTGAGGTCAGATTGTTGAATGAACGCTTTTTCACAGACACGGCATTTAAATGGTTTCTCAGCGGTATGTGTTCTTTCATGAGTTTTGACGTTAAATTGTCTATTAAAACATTTTTCACAGACAACGCATTTATAGGGTTTCTCATCGGTATGTATACGTAAATGTCTCTTGAGATTAGATTGTTGAATGAATGCTTTTTCACAGACTTTGCATTTAAAGGGCTTCTCGCCGGTATGTATCCTTTTATGAATTTTGATGTAAGATTGGTCGCAAAAAGCCTTTTGACAGACATCGCATTTAAACGGTTTTTCGACGGTATGTGTGCGTTTATGAATTTTTAGGTATTGTTGTGCACCAAATGTTTTTTCACAGACATCGCATTTAAACGGTTTCTCGCCGGTATGAATACGTGCATGTCTCTTGAGAGCAGATTGATGACTGAATGTTTTTTCACAGACATCGCACTTAAAAGGTTTCTCGGCGGTATGTATACGTGCATGTCTCTTGAGATTAGATTGATGAATGAATGCTTTTTCACAGACATTGCATTTAAAGGGCTTTTCCGTGTGAATGCACGAATGTCTTCTCAGGCTTGATTTTAATGAAAACGTTTTTAAACAATTACCACAATTAAATAGGCCATCTTTGTTTCGAGTATTTCCTTTGATTTTGCTGTTAGGATGATTGACATTATTTTTTTGAGGTGTTTTCTTTTCAATGGAATGCGATTTCGCAATATGCCGGATTATATTACTTTTGGTTGTAAACCTTCTTTGACACATATTGCAGTCGAACCGACGTATTTTGTATATATTTTTCTGAAAATGATTATCTATAGTTTCGTTAAAACTACAATCCATTGTCTTTGTATTATTTGAGATATCTGTCGCTTTACACGAAAAATGAATACTGCAACACGTTTGAAACAAAACAAATTAATTTAAGAAAAATATATTTTGATGTCATACAGCAAGTTTTAATATTAAATATACAACGCATCCTTTTTAAGAATTAATTTGATTAATTTTAGATGACATACAAAAGTCTTCTTTACTCAATTTTTATTTGATCGAGTTGCCTAAACTTATCCTACATAATACAATGTAACGTTCACATTTATTAGAATATGGACAATAAACATCCGAGTGCCATAAGATTTAAAACTTAAAAAGTGTACTCTATCTAAAGTCCACTTTTACATTGAGTACCTTGAGACTTTTTATGACCGACGTCTTTTAACCTTAAACTTGACAAAAATAATAATAAATTCTCATAAACGACTAAACTATATTTTTGACATGGATATGTCCTTTGGCTTGGGGACATTAAGAAAATGCTAAAATGACGCTGAACGGTACCGAGGAAAATGTGTGCGTGTGGCACGATTAAGCGGATGTTTTGTGAATGAAACAGCTGATAAATAATTTTTAATGTCTGGCTAAAAATTAGAGATATGCGATTAGAGATATTATAGATAAGATATAAAATGTACGATATTGTAGATACAAAATGTAGAGATATAATATTAGAAATAAAATATGAGAGATAAGAAACGAGACATATCCATATAATAAATACCTCTTTAAAAAGAAAACAAAATGTAACTAATTAATAATATTTTTATAAAGTTTTAAGTATTTTACTATGAGGAACTTTTATTCTTTATTTATGATAATTAAAAATGTATTTAATAAAAAATAAAATTAACCCCATTACTTATTACATTATTTTTTTTTTATAACTGTTAACATTAAAATTTTATTTTAAAAAATGACACATGTTCGCATTTTTTTTTTCAATTTTAATGTATGAAAGTTTTCTATATATGTATATAAAAAAAACCGGTACTTCTTATGCCAACGCAAACGTACGCTAACATCATGCGATGCTGCAGACGTTGACCGGACATCAAACCCACAATTAAATGTTTTCACAATTTTGTTTTTTTGATACTTTGATTTAACATTATATTGATAAAAGGTAGATACGGTTTTAAAATAATATATTATTATATAAACAAGCAGTTCCTAATATAAGTTAAATAATAGCGAAACGCTAACATCGATACCACTGATGGGTTTATGGAGGAGGATAACATAATTACAAAAGTTTTAAAGTTTTGTTTAAGAAAAAAAAATGGTAATAAAAATAACCTTACTCATAATTATTATCGACTTCCTTCTTTACTAAACACTTATTTGTTGTAGAAATTTCATTGTTTATGAACTGCATATCGAACGGTTTGTTTTCATTGACTTCAAACGATTTTTCCAACAACTCTTCTTTTGTTTCATCATTTTCAGGTTTAATTTTCAATATATTAAACCGCTTTAAAACTCTATAATTGACATTAAACATTAGTTGTATTTCTGTGCTATATATGCATAGAGGATTAGTAGGACAACTAAATTCACAATTTTAATTATTTTATTTAGTCACAAATATAGTCTACTAATGATATAATAAAGATAATTTAGTATACATTCTAAATGTATATTCTAATAGTAAAAAACATAAATTTTAATATATAGTTTTTGTAATAAAAAATGACACTTATTCGCATTTTTTATTAACTTAATGAAAGAATGAAAAATTATTGTAAAAATGTTTTCTATATATTTATATAAATAACTCGGTAAGTATCGTACAAAACGTACGCTAACATAATGTGGTGCTGCAGACAACACACTTACAAATAAAATGTTTACAATTTTGTTTTTTTAAATATTTTAATAGATCTCTATATGGATAAGAGGTAGATGTAGTTTTAAATCAATCAATCTATTATTAAATGAACAAATGGTTCCTAATATAAGTTTAATGTTAGCGAAACGCTTATATTGATACCATCAGGCACAAGTTTTAATACTTTTGTTCAAGATAAAATAAATGGTAATAAATAACGTCTTACTCATAAGTATCATCGAATTCATTCTTAACCAAATAATCCTCTACTATAGATATTTCATTGTTTTTGAACAGCACATCAAACGGTTTTGGTTCAACGGAGTATTCTTCTGCATCGTCATTTTCAGGTTTAATATTCAACATATTTTACCGTTTCAAAACTCTGTAATTGACATTGAACTTTAGTTGTTTTTCTGTACCACTTATGCAAAGAGGTTTAAATAGGACTACTAAATTGCAGTTTTATTTATTTTATTAAGTAACAAATAAAGTAATAATAATAATATAGTAAAGAATAATTTAGTTTACATTACTTGTAAAAAACCACTGAGTTTTCAGTAGTATATTTTGTTTGTTTAAACATTTAAATCTTAATTTTAATTTACTCGAATTAGATGAATAACACAAAGCTACAAGCAAGGCTTATAGGTAAGAAGCTAACACAATAAAGATCAAAGCTAGACGATTGGCCATTTTGCCGACTAGATTACTTTAAAATGGTGTTGATCCTATATTACTCTACTCAACTCCGGATGAACAATAAGTAACAAGCTACCAAATAAATTATGATTCTTTTTATTCAAAAGCAGTGTTTTATGCCCGCAGGAGACAGTAAACACGGCAATAATGTATATAAATTAGAAATACAAAACAATAGATACTCACACAATGTAGAACCGTAAACCGCCTTCCAGAGCAGCTAATAAAAACTTATAATAAATTATTGACATGCAAGAAAAAACACAATTGTAACGAAATAACGAAACACGACGCAATACTTAAGGTATTTATCGCAGAATTCGACCAAGTTATTATGATTGAAATCTAGAGATGTTCACGAATCGGACCCGTGGCACCAATACTGCAAACAAATTGGCAGTTTTATTTATTTAAATATAACAGCTTGTATATTTACCTAACGTGTACAGCACAAAGTTATTAACAGAATGTCTGCTTGGAAAAAAGACGCCAAGCGTGTAGACGAAGTCGTGTGAGATTATCGAATGGCGGACCAAAAATGGCTGCGGCATCGTCCTTACGCTTCTCCCGGCGCAGGTGGGGGTACGGTGGGTAGTGGTACCAACAATCATCACATTAGATGTGATTCCAATGAAAACTGAATGACAACGCAGAAATTATATGGACAGATAGTGTGTTTGTGTGATAACAAGTGATTGCCACATATGGAGGTACTTTGTAGCGTGGAGGTAAACGGTCTTGCAATTTAGGAGGCAAAGAAATAAAATGCGATTTCGCAATATGCCGGATTATATTACTTTTGGTTGTAAACCTTCTTTGACATATATTACAGTCGAACTTGCAGTGTATTTTGTGTATGTTTTTCTCAGAATCGTTTTCTATAGTTTTGTTCAAACTGCAATCCATGGTTTTTGTTTTGTTTAAGGTATCGGTCGCTTTACACGGAAAATGAATACTGCAACATGTATGGAATATAATAGATTAATTTAAGACAAATATACTTTGATATTATACAGCAAGTATTAATATTACTAATATTAAATGTACAACGCATCATTTTTAAGAATTCATTTTATTGATTTTACATGACATACAATAATCTACTATTAAGGCTATTTTATTTGATTGAGTAGCCTAAACTTATCCTATAAAATACAATGTAACGTTCACATTTGTTAAAATATGGATAATAAACGTCCGAATAACATAAGATTTGAAACTTAAAAAGTGTACTTTATCTAAAGTCCACTTTTACATTGAGTACCTTAAGACATTTAAATGACCGACGTCTTTTAACCCTTAACTCGGCAGAAATAAAAATTTCTGATAAATAATTTTTAATGTCTGGCTAAAAATTAGAGGTATTATAGATAAGATATAAAATATACGATATTGTAGATACAAAATGTAGAGATATAATATTAGAAATAAAATATGAGAGATAAGAAACGAGACATATCCATATAATAAATACCTCTTTGAAAAGAAAACAAAATGTAACTAATTAATAATATTTTTATAAAGTTTTAAGTATTTTACTATGAGGACATTACTTATAGTCTATTTCATTAAAATTTTCCATCAACTTTTAATTTTTATTTATGATAATAAAAAATGTATTTAATAAAAATTAAACAAACCCTATTACTTATTACATTTTTTTTTTTTATAACTATTAACATTAAGTAAACATTAGTAACATTATTTTAAAAAATCACACCTGTTCGCATTTTTTTCCTATTTTAATGTAGGAATGTTTTCTATATATGTATATAAATAAACACGGTAAGTCGCATGCAAACGCAAGCGTAAGCTAACATTATGGGATACTGCAGGCGTCGACCGGTCATCATACCCACAAATAAATAACAATTTTTTTTTGTTTTGATACTTTGATTGAACATTATATTGATAAGAGGTAGATGCGGTTTTAAAAATAATATATTATTATATGAACAAGTGGTTACTAATATAAGTTTCATAATAGCGAAATGCTAACATCGATACCAATGATGGGTTTATGGAGGATGATAACATAATTACAAAAGTTTTAAAGTTTTATTTAAGAAAAAAAAAATGGTAATAAAAATAACCTTACTCATAATTATTGTCGACTTCATTCTTTACCAAACACTTATTTGTTGTAGAAATTTCATTGTTTATGAATTGCATATCAAACGGTTTAGTTTTAATGACTTCAAACGATTTTTCCAACAACTCTTCTTCTGTTTCATCATTTTCAGGTTTAATTTTCAATATATTAAACCGCTTCAAAACTCTATAATTGACATTTAACATTAGTTGTAGTTCTGTGCTATATATGCATAGAGGATTAGTAGGACGACTAAATTGTACAATTTTAGCTATTTTATTTAGTAACAAATATAGTAATAATAATGATATAACAAAGAAGACAGCTTACTGACTAAGTGCCTGAAGCTTGAACATAATAAAAAAGAATAATTTAGTTTACATCATTTTGAAAATAAAAACCAACCAATTTTTCAGTGGTAAATTTTTACATGATCAAATTCTAACAGCTGAATTGAAGTTATTTGGGTTTTAAACTGTGTTTCATTTACCAACTTGTCAGTTTGGTGTTTATTGTTGGACATATCATAATGCGAATCACTACAGCGGACTACAGCATTACAAAAGCTTTTATGTTTTATTTAGTAAACACAAAATATTAATACAAATAGCCTTACTCATAAGTATTGTCGACTTCATTCTTCACCAAATACTCCTCTGTTGTAGATATTTCATTGTTTTCAAACAGCTCATCCAACGATTTTGTTTCAACGGCTCCAAAAGTTGTTTCAAAGAAGTGTTTTTCTGTTTCATGAATTTCATCTTTAATTTTCAACATATTATACCGCTTCAAAACTATAATTGACATTTAACACAAGTGTTATTTCTGTATCGTATATCCATATAGGTTAAATAGGACAAATAAATTGCACAATTTAAACTATTTTATTAAGTAACAAATAAAGTAAGATTAATAACCCAAAGCTACAAGCATGAATTGCAGGTAAGAAGCTAACACAATAAAGATCAAAGCTAGACGATTGCCCATTTTGCCGATTAGATTAATTTAAAATTGTGTTGATCCCTTATCACTCTAATCAGACAGCTTACTGACTAAGTGCCTGAAGCTTGAACATAATAAAAAAGAATAATTTAGTTCACATTATTTTGAAAATAAAAACCAACCAATTTTTCAGTGGTAAATTTTTACATGATCAAATTCTAACAGCTGAATTGAATATATTTGGGTTTTAAACTGTGTTTCATTTACAAACTTGTCAGTTTGGTGTTTATTGTTGGACATATCATAATGCGAATCAACTCAGTAACTAACAAAACCCAAAATATTATTCTATTGTGTATTTAGGCTTTTATCATTAATTAGATCAGTAAATTGGACTGTTAAGTATTTTTTTATAATTTACTATTATACAAAACAAAATTACTCATGTATTCTATCTATATAACTTCTAAAATAAATTAAACAAATATTTTAATAAAGTATATATTTCACTAAATATTTTGACTGATCGATAAGTTTTAAATAAAATGTAATGTGTAACATACTATACACACTAATCATCTATAATAGCTAAAAAACAAGCTAAGTATAAAAGAGGGTAATGACAAGTGGATTAGGTTACTCAAGGAAAGTTTAAATATCTCTTTACTTTTTTTTAACGCTGAAAATAATTATTTAAACAATATTATTAATACTGTTTTGTAAATTATTAAGGACATTGATTTAATTTTTTTTTTTAATTACGGAGGACTACAGCATTACAAAAGCTTTTTGTTTTATTTAGTAAACACAAAATATTAATACAAATAGCCTCACTCATAAGTATTGTCGACTTCATTCTTCACCAAATACTCCTCTGTTGTAGATATTTCATTGTTTTCAAACGGCTCATCCAACGGTTTTGTTTCAACGGCTCCAAACGTTGTTTCACAGAAGTGTTTTTCTGTTTCATCAATTTCATCTTTAATTTTCAACATATTATACCGCTTCAAAACTCTATAATTGACATTTAACACAAGTGTTATTTCTGTATCGTATATCAATATAGGTTAAATAGGACAAATAAATTGCACAATTTAAACTATTTTATTAAGTAACAAATAAAGTAAGATTAATAACCCAAAGCTACAAGCATGAATTGTAGGTAAGAAGCTAACACAATACAGATCAAAGCTAGACGATTGCCCATTTTGCCAACTAGATTAATTAAAAATGGTGTTGATCCCATATTACTCTACTCAACTCCGGATAAATAATAAGTAACAAGCTACCAAATAAATTATGATTCTTTTTATTCAAAAGCAGTGTTTTAAGTCCGCGGGAGACAGTAAACGCGGCAATAATGTATATAAATTAGAAATACAAAACAATAGGTACTCACACAACGTAGAACCGTAATCCGCTTTCCAGGGCTGCTACTGACAACTTATAATAAACTATTGACATGCAAGACAAAACTCAATTGTAACGCAACTTGAAATGAAATAAAGAAACACAACGCAGTACGTTAGGTGTTTATCACAGAATTCGACCAAGTAATTATGATTAAAATCTAGATATTCTCACGAAGCGGGGCCGTGGCGACAATACAGAAAACCAATTGTACCTAGGGCGCTCAATCTAATTGTTTC